GATCGATTGCCTTGTGACTCCCCCGTCCTCGTCTTGCCTTATCATCTTTGTCGTTTCTCCGAAAAAACATCATGCGTTCTTCTTTGACCTCGCTTGCTTCTTTCTGATTTTCTCGCAGTATGGTTAAAAAGGCTTCGGCATAGATGTTCATTGAGATCTTCGAGCGCGTTTTGGTTTGAACGCGAAGGGCTTTGAATTTGTAGGGCTGGCAAATCTGTACCGATCCTGGTGGTACCTTCATCCATTTGCCACCCCACCCACCCTGACCCTCCTCCCGCCGCCACCGTGTAGGCTGCATATGGCTGCACAGTCTTTGGAGCCCTTCTTCACAAGGTGCACTTGGGCAGGCTGCACCTTTGCTTTTGCCTTTGCAGCCCCCCAGCTTTGGAGCCGTCGGCCAAGTTCTTGTGGGTCAAGGCGGAGGAAAATGTGTACCTGCCAGACATGTGCAAAGCTAGCCAGGAGACAAACCACGCACCTTGCAAGCCAGATCTGCACAAGTACCACCTAGATTTGGCCCCTTTTACAATTTGAGGAAGTAAGCAACAATACAAGGCGCCGCAAAACACAGCAAACCACAACCAAATCAAACTACACAACGCAAGGACGAGAGCAATATGCGGTGAATGCAAAAGAAACTCAGAGTGCCCGCAACACAACATGATAGCGCCTTATCTGATCGCGCACAAAACCAAACAGCCAGCGACATTGAACAACCCGCACAAGCGCCCGGCTCTTACTCTTCATCCTCTTCATCCTCTTCATCCTCTTCATCCTCTTCATCCTCTTCATCTTCATCCTCTTCATTCGTTTGCTGTTCCTTCTTACTTTTCTTCTCCTCCAGTCCAGAACCGGTTGACGAGTAGCCGACAAACAAACCTAAACACCAAATGCAAACCTCTGCGCAGGCCTATAATCGATCGATTGCCTTGTGACTCCCCCGTCCTCGTCTTGCCTTATCATCTTTGTCGTTTCTCCGAAAAAACATCATGCGTTCTTCTTTGACCTCGCTTGCTTCTTTCTGATTTTCTCGCAGTATGGTTAAAAAGGCTTCGGCATAGATGTTCATTGAGATCTTCGAGCGCGTTTTGGTTTGAACGCGAAGGGCTTTGAATTTGTAGGGCTGGCAAATCCACTCCTCCCCAATCTGTACCGATCCTGGTGGTACCTTCATCCATTTGCCACCCCACCCACCCTGACCCTCCTCCCACCGCCACCGTGTAGGCTGCATATGGCTGCACAGTCTTTGGAGCCCTTCTTCACAAGGTCTTGCCATTTGCTTTTTGACCCTTGCTTTTTCCTTGGCCCCGCCTGACCTGTCTTGCGTTGGTCACTTGGGCAGGCTGTGCTTTGGCTTTTGCCTTTGCAGCCCCCCAGCTTTGGAGCCGTCGGCCAAGTTCTTGTGGATCAAAGCGGAGGGAAGTGCACCTGCCAGACATGTGCAAAGGTAGCCTCCTGCGTAGGAGACAAACCAAGCAAAAATCCCACATACATATTTCACAGAACTGGTTTGGCAGGCCCTTTATTTACAACATAGCCTCCTGCATAGGAAAAACAGCAAGCAGGTCCCAATCAGCCGGCAGCTCGCTCTGGCTAAGCGCCACATGGAACCATCGGAGTTGGCCGCTGGGAGTCCGGAACCAACCTCCCAAACCTCAGCCGCTCCCTGCAGCTCCAGCCTCGGCGCTGCCCATAGGATCTGCTCCCTTCCCAGCTGGGTCTGTAAGACTTGCAGCGCCGCCACCCGACCGCGAATCGCACCCAAACCTTGCCGTTCCTTAACTTTGGCTGTCGTACCGCGGGAATCGATCTTGCTCCCTGCAACCTCCCTCAGCTGCCACTGCGCCTGCGCGTCGGACCTCACGGCAGACCGCCGCACAACCAATGTCTCAGGGCCCGTGATGTCCACCAGCTCTTGAATTTGGTCCAATCGCAACAACTGCAACTTGTTGGACGGCCGCCGCAAGCTTTGAAACAAGCACATAGACGCCGCCTAAACGCACATGCCTCAAGGCGCTGGATACGCCCGTGCCCGGCAGTCCCGCAGTATTCACACGCGTGCAGAAAATGCGCTTGCCCGCTTGGTACCGGTGGCAAGTGCCTGCCGCCTTCCCCTTGCCGGCCTTGCCCTTACCTTTACCCTTGCGCCCGCCCTCCTTGCGCTCGTATGGCTCCGGGCGAGTCCGGCACCTGCTGCCGCGTCCTTGGCTGCAGCCACAATTGCAAGCTGTTCCTGACGACTACCACTTCATGGATCGCTTCGTCCATTGTGTACCCTTTCTCCAGCAGCCCTTGCAACTGCCGACACACTTCAGCTGCCTCAGCTTCCTGGATCGACGGCGCTCGCAGGTCCAAGGACGCTAACTCCGGCCCATGAGTCTTCGCAGCTCCCACATGGCAGAAGCTCACCAAGGCCCACGCCACGGCTCGCAGGGTGAGCACCTCTTGCACCGCCAAGGGCGACGCGAAGACGCTGCCTTCCACGCACTCTGCAACGCCTGTTGCTTCCGCAAGCAAGCCCAGCAAATTGCCCTCCTTGGCTTTGGCCGACAGCCGGGATTGGTCATATTGCACTTCCGAGAGGATGCACTTCCAAGGAATGTGTTTTTTTTCCCTTCTTCTTTTGTAGATACACATGCTGCACCTACTGTTTGCATGGCTTGTTGTCAGCTTCCAAAGCTTCCGCCGGGTAACTGGCGTCGAAGCTATTCCACAGCGCGCGGATTTGAGGAGCATCCAACTGCCCACTGCTGGCCAACGCCAATACTGAATTTTCGCGTCACGGGTCTCAGGCGCTTGGGCCACGACCTTCGGCGCTATTTGCTCCACGCTCTTCGCCCACGCAGCTCGCAGCGCACCTGTGACCGGATGCCACTGCCAAGCATCATCGCCTTCCGCCACTGCCTTCTTGGCCAGCAACATAGACCGCGAACTTGGCCACTAGGTCTTTGCTTTCAAACGCATAGGCAAAGACTTCGCGTCTTGTACTCTTTTGCCACCTCGGCGGCAAAGTCAGCGTCCAAGCCCAAATCCTCCAATTGCTTCTGCCACTCGCTCATTGCAGCAGCAAAAGTGAAAAGAACACCCTCGCCCAAGGACACCTGTAGCGCTCGATCGCCAAACTTGCGCTCTGGACCAACAACTTGGCCAGACCACCGCCCTACTTGGGCCTCGCTGCCACACGCAGCCCGCCCGCACGGGCCCTCGACTCGGCCGTCTTGGCCTTTTCCCCCAGCCCTACAATGGGCAAAGCCACGCCCCACATGGGCCCCCAGCCGGCCCTACTTGGACCTCCAGCGGCTCTTGGCCTTAAGCTTGCCTGACCCTACCAAAACACGTTAAAACCCTATTCGTAAGGGTGGGCGGGCGGAAGAAGAAAACACAAGCCAAGTTCACCGGTGGTCAGCCCCAACTGGACACTAAGCAACAATTTTGATCATGCACACATGTCATATATTTGGGAAGCTACTCTTAGAGAGCGGTGTTGTTGCTTTTCGCTCGCTCAAGCACAACGTCCCCCCATGTCTTGCGCCGGCCTGATCTTGCGCCAGGATGATTTAGCGGCAAGAGCGTCCAACACGCCAAGCTGACTTTTCTCCGAGACAACGGCGGCCCCTTTGTAGTACAAGTCTGGTAGACGAGGTGCACTTCTCGACCTCCAGCCCGAAAGTCGCAAGTACGCGAAGTACACTTTGAAGTGTAGCTCCAGCTCAGAAATCGCAACTTTGTAGTACAAGCCTAGCTCGCGAAGTACAATCCTGCGGCTCCAGCTTGAAACTCGCAACTTTGTCGTGCAAGCCTAGCTTGCGAAGCACACTTCTGCAGCTCCAGCTCAGAAATCGCAACTTCGTCGCAGGCTTCGTTTCTCTGGGTCGCCTTGGTTTTGGAGGGTTTTAGCCCCTATTCCACCCGAAAACGTGTGGTCGTACGTGACGTTCCACTAAACGTAGTCTTCGGGGAGCCGGTGTCCCAAAACAGGGGTCTCAGGCTCCAATCCCCCTGCCGGCTCTTTGCTGGTTTGGGGTTCCTGCCTCCTTTTGCCGAAAATTTGGAAAACACTCTATGCTTCTTGACATCCTATTTGCGAAAACGCCGGAAAAACTGTTGTTTTTTTTGCGGGAAAATACTGGGGAGCAAAGGGGAAATGCAAGGAACTGCAAGGAAATGAGGGGAGGAAATAGGAAGTTGACATGACAGGAACGCAAGGGGAAATGAAAGGGAAACAAAGGGGAAACCAGGACATCATGGGAAACGTGAAAAGGACATGAAGGGGACATCGCGGGGAAAGCCAGTAGTAAGCAGGCAGGGTCATGCAGGGGCAGTGCCCGGATATCGAGGCAACTCAGGGGGGACATGACGCTGCAATGCAGAGAGAGACAGAGACAGAGCCAGAGAGAGAGAGAGAGAGAGAGAGAGAGAGAGACAGAGAGACGGAGAGAAAGAGAGAGAGAGAGAGAGAGACTAGCTCCTCCAGTAGAGAGGTTAGAACAAGGCTACCCTTTTTGCTGCAGACATGCGTGGACAGGAAGGAGACAGGGAGACAGAAAGGGAAAGAAAAACAAAGAGAGAGAGAGAGAGAGAGAGAGAGAGACAGAGAGACACAGAGAGAGGAGAGAGAGGCTTGGGGGGATGGGGAGGATCGGGAGCAGAGGGAGGGAGAGAGGACGACGGGACACACGGGGGAGGAGACAAGAGAGAGAGGAAGTAGGAGAAAAGGGAGAGGACAATGTCGGCGGACTGAGCCGGAGCTCTAACGTTTTGGGGATCGCTCATGTCCTCCTCCTCCTCCTCCTCCTTCTTTAGCTACTACTTGCTACTACCTTGACCAGAAACACGCAAGCGCGGCAACCGTTTGTCACAAACCATTTTATCGTTTTTGGGGGCCCTATGGTTTTGCAAGGCTTTCCGCAAATTTATGCAGAGCGGCTTTTCTAAAGCGATCTATATATTGACCGATTTCGCCTCTACGCATTGCTCATGGCGAATCCCAAGGCCCCGGCCACCTTGGCCAAGGCCGTTGAAGCCTCCAGGCTCCTGACGTCGGAAAGGATTGGGAAGGCTGCCAGTTCTCATGCCACGCCTTTGTCATGATACAATGATAGCAGCAATTGCTTAAGGCGCTCAAACCAAACATGACTTGCAATGACCCCTGATGTTCTCCGCGCGTTCTTTTGCAGGAGTCTGACCCAAAGAACTTACGCGATGCCGTAATTGTTTAATCTGTCAGTAATTGTCAGTGTTTCTGCGCGTGGAGTCCACTCTTTGGTATAGTTTGACCTGCTTGTGCATAAGTCTTTGCTCATGTTAACTCTTTTGAATAACTTGTGTTTAAATGCTAACTGACTTGTACTTACTTTCATTGAAAGTAGAATGTCCCTCCAATCAGAACAAGTCCATTGGATCATCCCTGCCCGAAAAAAACACAGACGAGATAAACAAAAAACGCCCCGCCGCCCCTCCCCGCCCCCAAAAAAGACTCTCCCAGAACTCTTGGCGTTGTTAGTTTTGTGTTGTTTGGTTGCTCCAGGTTGTTTACTTCTTAGAAACGGGGAAATGAATTAGAAGCACGAAAAAGGCTGCAACTGGCCTGAATCCCAAACAAGCAATGGAACAAAACAAAAACGGCAATTACACAGATCCCACAAACACACGGCAAGACCACTCATGCAGCCCCCCTGTTCTGAATGACAATTGAGAGTGATTGTCAGCACGCTGTGGACAGGAAAGCGCAAGTGGGCAGTAGGAGCCGGTGTCTGCTCGGTGATCTCCCAACTGTTCAAAAGCAGTCCTCTGCATTTCTGGATCTGTGAAGGCAAATGGATCGCATTGTGAAAGAACCTGGACAAGGAAGAGTTGTAAAGGGCAATCTGTTTGCTCCGAGCCTTGGAGTTCCCCAGCTCTCCATGTGAGCGCTCATGTAGACATGTGACGAACAGCTCGATCTGGACACAGTTGTGAGGAACAGGCTCGTAACTTTCAGGTCTATGAGCATGTCTTTGTCGTACATTGTTTGAGGGTACACGAAAGACTTGGCCAAAGGTTCTCCAAATCACCGTCCCAGTGACTGACAGGTATCTTGAGGGGAAGGACATGACCCGGGCTGCAACTTGCTCGGGAAAACCGTGCAGGCCTCGACCCCTACGGATTGAAATCTGAAGTTCTGCCCATGCCCGTGCCTCTGCGCCACGTCCTTGGCACTGTGCCCCTCTGTAAGGGGCTGCAGCAGCCGCGCCAGGCGCGCCAGGCTGGCAAAGTCCGCCTGGCGAGGGCCAAGTCTTCAAACGAATCAAGCCCTTTACATGATTAGAGTTGGGCCGGTAGAATCTATGTTTTGTTGTTTGCTTCACTCTGAGTCACTGGTATGTAAAAATGTGTCCTAAGTCTACCCCAGTTTAGTTTTCAAATGTTCTCAAACTAGTATTGGCTTTCGCGTGGTTGGTACGTGTGTGCCAGGCGCACTTCCACCAACAAAAGTAGCAAAACAAATGAAATTTTGTCTCAACGTGGATTTTCGCGAAGGAGTGGCAATCAACATAGAATGCGTGGCAAAAATCAAAGTAGAAGTTCCATGAGCTCGGGCTGGCCCTGTCTATTGTCCAGGAAAATGGAACGACACCTGAAAAGATGACGTCAAACACTTCATAGCAGCAATTGCAGATTTGCACAAGCCCTACAAGTTGTATACCTTCAGGGGGTTTCCAACATGAAGCCTGGTTTCGGCCGACTCTCGCAAGTTCTACGTCAATGACGGGCTTTCCCAACGTGGAAGCCCATCCTGACAGAAGCTGGCACCTTCAGCAAAAGCATGGGACCCTTGCACGGCTTCCTTTCCCCCGTGATTGCCGCCGGTGCTGTGCTCACGTAGCGGTTGGACAGTGACAAGCACGGAATATGTTCTTCCAAACTTCCCTTTGGCTGGTACAGTGCACGGTACTGTTGCTAAATTGTAATTGCCTTGCTTTTTGCGCAGCCGAAACAGAAAAAAGCACCTGGCGTGCACCCACATGGCTCTCCAGCATCTCACTCCGAATCTGATGCACTGTGGCATTCGGCATGCCCTGCATGTCTATGGTGCTCCGGGTCCTCAATGTTCAGATCCAGACCAAGCTCCTCCGCGCAGTCGCAACAATACAGGCCGTCATTGTGAAACGGAGTGTCACAACATCCACAAACACAGACTCGCCGTCCACAATCTTCTCCACAGCCACACGCGCACTTGTTCTGACACAGCTTGATCCCTAAATGCAGTGCACGGGAGATAAAATTCCTCTTGTGAGCCAGATTCATGCCCGGACAATGCAGCTGTAGGCATTCAGTAAAGACATCCTGTGTTGAATGCTGAAATTCCACCGAAAGATCACCAAGCTCAGAGTCCTGCGCTGGTCCCAAAACTCGCCCAAGACCTTCTTCTTGGTGATGGACCAGTTGCCCAACCACACCTAGTCGAGGACGGTGTTCCCAACAGTTGGTTTCATCCAAATCGCGACCAATCCACTGCGCAGTGTCCCCGCGAAGACTGACCCATTCGCCATCGCACTTTGTGGTGAATTTTTGCTTGAGACGCTCTGGTTCTGCTGTGACGATTGCTTTCACTGGATCGCGGAGGAAGTCTCTCATCTCCAACAGCCGGTAGACTGCCAAACGCCGATTGTTTAATGAGAAGTACTGGCCCTGGATAAAAACCACCTGCATCGGAGGTATTTCAGCACAGCGTCGCCTTTTCCCGCAAAGGGAAATACCTTCGTCAAAGGATGCCTGCAGACTCCGTCCATCGCGGAATAGCAAGCTGATGGAATCCTGTGTGAATCCGATCTCAGAGGGCCACAAGATCACATGGCCTTCGTGGATGCCAGGCCGAAGTCGCCATTCCCAATTTCGACCTTCCTTGGCCCACATCTGGGGAACATGAAAAAAAACAGTTCGGGTTTGAGATGTCTTTAGTCTACCCCACAGAAATACGAAACAGCTTCGGTTTCATATTCTACGCAATTAACAATGCTAGTACGACTACGACCGACACTGAATGATACAAATACAGGTGCTGATGCTTATGCTAATACTAGACGAATACTTCCCATACTCATACTAATACTAGTACTGGAAAAAAAAAAAAACATGTTCTGAGGAGACCCAGCTTCGTCCTTTTTGGAGATCTGCTGCCCAGTCCCCACCAGCCAGCAACGCCCATCTCTGCTTTCGCCTGTCACGGTGCAACGTTGCCCTTCGAAGAGCCTGTACTTGCTCGTCAGCAGCTCCAGGCAATCTCCAAGTCCCATGGTCAAAGACTTGGGCGCTGCATCAGCACAAAGCTTGAGGCTAGAGTACATATGGCCATGGGTCAAACCCCGTACCCCCAGTGAACATCCCAATGGCCACTAAAGTAGTATAAAACGGGTGGTGCACCTACCCCAAAATGGTACCATTGGTTTTGACCCACGGCCATATCAGCAGCAACCTCCAAGAAAGAAGCAAAGAGCGGCAAAGTCTCCGCTTTGTCCTGGGATGATCTATATCATAGGAAGAAAACCACTACACATTTGCGACAGCCAACTAAGACTAACGGACTCTTCCATGCGGCTTTGGAGGGTGCGCCCAAAGGCAGCAGCGGTCGCCTCTAAACAGACCATCTCCTGTGTCCAGCTTTGAGTGCGCGCTGTGAAAAATGCGACAACTGGCAAACAAGCAAACGCGGTAGATCACATTCAGCCGGTTTCCCTGTCTCACCCTCCGGCCAAGACGACCAAACCCCAGTCAGGCAGAAACAAACCAAATCCTGCATAGAGAGAAGCAGAAACGCTCTCCCGAGACCGGCCCCCGCCTCTGACTGCAGCATAGTACCCACCGCCCCAAGCAGCCGACGATGTGCCTGGCTCCGTACCATCCTCCCCCGAAACAATGCAATGGGAGGTGCAAGAGCACTGCCTGAGTTCAGAGCTGCCATCTGCATCCCACAAAGCATGTTGCCATGTGGCGTGGTTGGGAAGGAGGGCTCTTGGGCCTCTCATGTTCTATACTTTCTCTGATCTGCCGACCCTGGATACAGCGTGTTGTCTTGGTTCCTGTGGACTGCACATCAAATTGACAATGGGCGTGTTCACACACGCCTGGCTTTCAGCTGTTTCAGATGTTCCACGCAACGCCCGCTGAAGGCATAGAACACATCAGCAGACTAAAACATTGCAGAAGCTTGCCTTCTTGTCTGCAGGTGCTAATAGATAGTGGCCCAGGACAAGCACAGGAAAGGGCTAATGCCAAAGCAAAGTTCTAGCTGATTTCCAGTTTTCAGTGTTGAAACGCGAAGGTGCGTGGTTTGCGCGTGTGAGCGTGCAAGTGCATGTGCATGTGAATGTGTGTGTGTAGGCACTGAACAATGTCCATACGCAAATGGTCTTGCACATTTGGGACAACAGGCAACACAAATAATCACCAGCACAAAGTTACGTCGGGGAAAACAATCATTCAACAGCAAGCCATCTTGGCCACAAAAGACATAGCGTACTGAAGACCCTGATGGGAAACAGCTTTCCTGCATCTTGTTGCCAGGGACTTCAGCAAGGTGACGGGCCCCACAAGGAGTGTCTATGCTGGACGTCAACTTGACTCTGCCACAATGCGATACGTTCCGCTTTGCCTCCATTCGCTGCACCACCTTCCGTGCCGGGAAGGAGGGGGTCACAAGGATCCATCTTTGCAGCCCAAAGTGTCCCCATACAACGCGAACACGCAAGCCCCGACACAATGATGCAAGATGATAACTCGTGAACAACATGACACAAGTGACGGGGTTCGGTTCACGTTGGATGTTTTGATATTTGACTGAACATGTCTTTACTTTATCACATGTCAGCAAATTCCATCGATTGGTTTGATTGCTCGCCCAAATGACGTCTTAACATGTCTTGTCACTATCTTGCCACGGCGGAACACAAGCTTGCAGAAAGATCGCCGAAATGTCCTTGGCATACTACGCTTCCCCGCCCGATGAGCCAAACGCGCCAAGGTCTTGCCATCCAACTATATAGTCCAACACAAACGCAAGATGCCCCACCACACTCACAAAATGGGAAGCAGGGAAACGGTTTCTTATTCGTATTCACATGTCGAAGCTCCTCAACAAACACTCACAAAGAGCCGCAATGTACTCGGCAAGTTCCCGGCCGGTACGTGTACTCATTCCCACGGTCGGCGGCTGCATGCTGAACAACTGGCAACACTCGGTGCCTCCTTTTCCCATCCAGAGCCACGAGCCCCCCGAACCCGAACCCGCTCGCTTGAAACCCGGACGGCGCGTTCCGCGCTCCGAGGCGGCGGCGCAGGAGATCTCCTCGCTGGCGTTTCTCTGCAGCGCTTCGAAGGCCGGCAGGATGTAGCGCCTGTGCAGTGCAGGCCTCGTGCTGCCTAACAAAACGAAACAAAAACATCAAGCGCTGTGAGCCTGGCGACTTTGGACTTGGGACTTGTCGTTGATGAGTTCTAGTGTCTTGTGGCGTGAAAAAGAAGCAAACATTTTTTTGTCCCACTGGAACAGTCCCTTCCTTCCAGGTCCGGCGTTCGGCATGTCAAGTACAGGGAATGGCTGGGACCAAGGCCAATGTAGCCGCTTCAGCTCCTCACCGGCCCTGGCATCTTGCAAGGGCAATGGACTGTAGGCGCGACCTCTACACTTGAAGTTCTCCGGCAACGTGAGACACCAAGGCAACGCAAGCCTTCTGGAAAAACACATTAACACAGAAGGGTGTCTCAAAATGAGGGAACCCGAAGATTGGCAACTCCCTTTGAATTTCCGTCCACCCTAAAAGTGTTCTCAAAACAACCACACCCAAAGCCTTCTTTGTAATGTCCATGGTGACCTGCCTGAGAGCCCAACCCAAAATCTGATACTTGTTGAAACATAGAACCATGAGACAATGTTGCAAGTTGGGAAAAGGGGAATTTGGTACACCGTTCGACTGGAACATGGCACGCACTCAGGAAAAGGCACTGAGCATGATTTTGGCAAAATCAAGTTGTTGCATCACTTGTTTGGCACTTGTGGCAACTTGGCCATCTTTTCTTATCACTTCAATAGCTGATAAATCTGCTGCCGTGTGTCTCTGCTCCCTCCTGATGGGGATTAGACCGCAGGTTTTGGAATGATCAGCCACCATGAGTGGCTGGAAAAACATTTCACAGCACCCTACTTGACATATAGAAATTGCACCAGTTACCCAGAATTTGGATAATTGCTTGAGTTTGGTTCATCCTGGGACTGTGAGATGGTATAACAGTACGCATTGAAGGAAAAGGCTGAAATCGCTTCTCAAGGATCAAACACATGCAAGCCCAATTCTCTCACCCCTCTTCATAACTGGCTGTTGGTTGTTGTTGCAGCTACTGCTGCTGCTGCCGCTGCTGCTGCTGGGGTTGATGTTGCTGTTGCTGTTGCTGTTGTCGTTGCTGTTGCTGTTGCTGTTGCCGTTGCTGTTGCTGTTGCTGTTGTCGTTGCTGTTGCTGTTGTCGTTGCTGTTGCTGTTGCTGTTGCTGTTGTCGTTGCTGTTGCTGTCGCTGTTGCTGTTGTCGTTGTCGTTGTTGTCGTCGTCGTGGTTAGCTCTTGTTTGCTGATTGTTGTTCTCGCCTGAGGAAACTTATCATGGGCCACGGTGCTCGGGAATGCGCTTCTTCTTCCCTTTCTCCTCGTCCCCTTTGGGCCCCGGGCGAGATCACCAGGGCCGCTGCCTCGTCCGCATCCTGCGGTGCAACTGTGCTCGAACCAAGCAGGCGCAGGACCTCCCCGGCATGTGTCTGGGCAACCTAACTTCCCTAGCGTTCTGCCTCTTTACCCCTGGCAGGTCGCCAGAAGTTGCCCAGCATGTGTCCCTCAAGAACTTTATTAACGTATTTCTTGAAAGCAAGACTATCCAGGCGAAAGCAAGCTTTCCTTTTTGGTCACAAATGACATTGGGAGGGAGTACCAGCTGACCCTGCATAGGTATGACTTACTTGTCTGCAAGGGCGAGGCGCACGGGCAGGGCGGCCATGGTGATCATCGTCGTCATCATCCTCTTTGTCGCCATAGTCACAATCACGCTGGTCTCTTTCTCTTGATGAATGGGCGTGATACGATCCACGCGTGATGAATCAACTTGCTTGATCCTGCCAGTAGTGATACGGAACCTCGTGGTTTTCACCAGTCATCATGGCTGTCATCATCGCCATGAGCGCTGCGGTGATGCTGGTGATGCGTAGACACAATTCAAATCATCCTGACGAAGCAACAGGGTTCATCCTGCCACGAGCTTGGCAGCTACGTTTCAAGGTTAGGTAGCGTAGTCATGCTTATCATCATCACTCCTGGTGATGCTGGGGAAGCGCGGTGGTGATTATCGTCATGGCTGTCACCATCATCATCATCATCATCATCATCATCATCATCATCATCATCATCATCATTATCAGTCTGGGATGTAATCATCGCTACTGCTGATGCTGAGGATGTGTAGAGATGATTACCATCATGGCTGTCACCCTCACAAAGCAACCGGGTTGATCCTACCATGGCTTGTCTCTTCGTTCTTATCTTTTTGATATACGCTTCAAGTGTCTCATTCGGGAGCGCTGCAATGGCGTAGTCATGAGTCACTGCTGGTGATGCGTGCTGATGATTATCATCATGGCCGTCATCATTATCATCATCATTATCATCATCATCATTATCATCATCATGAGTGCCGGATGCGTAGCGGCGATTATTGGTGAATGCTGAGGGTGCGTCGGATGCGTAGGGTATGATTACCATCATGCTGTCATCATCATTTGCTGGTGATGCTGGCGTTGCGTAACCATGATTGCAATCAGGGCTGTCATGACTTTGACGAAGCAACGAGGTTGATCCTGCCAGCAGCTTGTCTCCTCGTTTTGCGCTGCGCCGGGAAACGAAAACTGGTTAGGGATTTTCCCCAGAGCTGAAGCTCAAACAGGCTCCAGGGGTGGCCTGGGCGACTTGTTTCGATTTTTTTGAGCATCCCCACGGAGTCCTCTTTTTTTCGGGGCGCACGGCGCAGGGTGCAGGGCAGAATCCACGGCAATGACAGAATGATGCTGATGATGCAAAGCGAGCAGCAAATTGAAGGGGTTGGGGAAAAAGGGCGGCAATGAAAGGAAATGAAATGAGCGGTATGAGGGAAATGTCTTGCAAGATGCAATGGACAATGAGGCGAAACGGACGGTAAAAAATAAAGCGAAGTGCCATGAAGGGAAATTAAAGTAACATGCGGGGATTGTCCATAAAAGGGGAAGTGAATGCAAATGAAGTGAAATGAAAGGAGCAGAAAGAAACTGATGGAATTCAATTGAAGGGACATGAAGGGAAATTGGATGAGAAATCAAGGGCGAAGTCTCTTGGGCTCTTTCGCGTCAGCGTCTACATCCGGCCACTGGGCCGTGACCGCTACCTTGCCGCCGATGAGCAGAACATGAACATACGTTTTGCGCTGCGCCGTCCCTGCTACGGGGCGAAGAGGATTTGTAAAATGGAAGGCATCCCCAGCACTGCCAGCATCATCCTGAAGGATGCGGATCGTGCAGGGTATGCTGGCGAGGCTCAGAATTGAGAAATGAATATAAATCAACCGAAAAATGATGAACAGAAAAAAGACACAAGGAAACTCAAGACAATGCAGCAAAATGGCATGAAGGGAATGAAGACAATGATGGAATTCAATTGAGGGAAACTGAAATATAATGACCAGAGACATGAAGGGACATGAAGGGGAAAGAAATGAAGGGCAGGGTTGCCGGTGGCCGGCTGTTTCGCGTCAGCGTCTAAGTTGTTCCAACACATGCCATTCTAGAAAAGGCAGCGAACCTTACAACCTTCAGAGAAAAGTGGGTTATTCGCCCAGTCAAGCGCACACCCATAGGTCCTTGATCCAAGTACGGCAGTTTAAGCGAATACGAGAAAATGTCGCCAACGGTCAAATCCCCACTGGAAAGGATGTGACGTACATTAAACACTACACTACGGTGGACGAAAGAAAAAGATTCAAAGCTCCAGCGCAGCATGGTGGAGGAATTGGTGGGATAAGACTGCCACAATCAACGATTTACTCAGCCTGAGCCTTGGTTGTGTGGTCCTAATCTGAACCACCACTCTGCTCAGTCAAATCCTGCTGTGGAAGGAATGACTCCTGAAAGGAACAACATTTTGAATCATCACCATCGTCCGCGGTCTTCTATCTTTGGATGGAGTGGGAGGAATAAGATTCTCTGGGCAAATTGCAATGATTCAAACACTGAAACTAACAAAACCAGGTAAGGAACCATGGGTGAGCTCCTTTGAGCTTGGTTTGCGATCCTTCACTCGAATGTCAGCTCTCCTTCACTCGCTCCAGCGCATAGCCCAGGCGCTCGTCCACGCCCCGGAGCCTTGACACCCAGGAAACATTATTGGAGCGAATCGAGTAGGAAAGTACTCGAGCTCATGATGTCATGGTGTTCATTGATGTTGTTTGTATGAGCAACAATCTCTTTTGCAAGCCCTTGGCAAGCTTGAGCACTAGTCGAGCCTGGCCTTGCCCAATCCCAAGTTTTGGAGACAAATGGTTCTGCACCAAACATCGGCCAAAATGGAGGCTGCCGGCCAGGAAGTTCAGCCCAGACACTCCACCCGCATCCGCAACTCGCTTTTGGAATGGCACCCCCTCGCGCCTCACGGCTGGCCCCTCGGTGCGGAACCTCAGGGCTCACAGGCAGTCTGGCGAAGCAGCTCACGCGAGCAACGGCTCCTTTTGGGATATGTGTCTCTAGCAGAATGCCCTGCGATGGACACCCGGGCAAAATATGTCCGCGTCCTAGTCTCAGGGAAGGAACCAGGGTGAACAAGCAACTTGGACCTTGCACCGATTTAAAGTCCTCCTCAAGGAAACGCCAAGTCGGAGCGAAACTGTCCCGTTGAAGGAGCTCGCTCCATCCACATGGGCATTTGATTCTAGAGGCTGGTTCACCTCCAATGGCACAAGTGCTCCAGTCACTCCATCGCCTCTGAACGAGTGCAAAAACCACTCTGCCAATGGGACCTAGAAAGGAAAGCTTGAGAGAGCTCCCGGGGGCGGTCACGTCCCTTCTGTCTTGGCGTCCCGCTCCCACATCTCGAAGTGGCCCTCGAAGTAGCTTTGGAAGTCGTCATCGTCCCACATGGGCTTCTGCAGAATATTCCCGAAGTATGCCTCATTTGCAAGCTTGACATCCTCTCGATTTTGTCAGCGTGACCAAATCTGCCCGCAGCCCAATATGTACTGATCGTGCTTACTGAAACATGCTTTGCCGTGCTCTTGGCATGGACTTCTCGTGCAGAAACACGTAGAACAACACCCATTATTCCCTGGCTCAATTCGCTTGTGTTGAAAGCTGCCGTGTTGCATGGTTACAACACGCCAAGGGTGTAAGCCTCAACTTCAATCTGCCTGGAAAGTTGCCAGGATGGGACTCATGGCCGACTCAGGAGGCCAATATGAACAAAACAAATGAAGGGCTAACCTGCCAGCCCAAAGCCCGAGTTCCACTTCTGAGCAAGTCTACTTAGTACTTCCAAGGGTGGTCTTTGATGGTTTTATTTTTCACGGGCTGACACTACAAAATCAACCACCCCCTGCGGTGCAACCCTCGCAGGAACCGACCGCCTGGATGACCTCGACGCGCGCCGAGGCACGGTGACGTTGGCGTCGGTCTTCACCTGGTCCAAGGGAACCCAGCCGCCCTTGGCCTCGATCACTGGCCGCAGCACCTGGGCCAACCCGAGGGAGCAGCTGCAAGCAGATTGAGAGCACTCACCTTCAGGCCTTCAGGTGGTGCACTTTGCCCCTGATTTCAGCTGTGTATTTCAGAAATGGCTCGAGAAAATGGGGTGCAAAATTCACAGAAAGAAAGGTTAGTGAATGCCCAAACCCAAAGAACTTAAGCTAAGTCTGCTCTCCACGGCAACGTTGAAACTGACCCACACCCCGATGCCACTGAAGACAAGCGCCCAAGGAATGGCCTCCAACTCTGTGGCTGCTCCCTTTGCTGTGGCCATATGCAACGTTTGAATGCCATGATATCAATGCCATCGATGGTCCATCCTGTGCATCCATGAAATGGTATACGCGAGGATAACAGGGCGACGCAGCGAAGCCGCCACGGGCAATGGGAGTCCCGCTGACGTCCCCATTGATTGTTTTTCAAATAGATAGTGATGGGTGCCTGTCCTGCAACACTCAGTTGGGGGAGTTCCGTACCATGGAACTGCCATGCCGTGAACATCATGCCACTAATATTTCATATCTTGTGCATTGCCACACATTCGCCACACAGCGTCCCCGCAATGTGTTTGCCATCGGCAACTTGGCTTTTGGCCTGCGGATTTTCTTGGCAGGGTCAGGGATGCCATCCTCAGAGCTCGGAAATCGAAACCACTTAGCCTCAGAAGCTCAAGCTCATTCCCAAACACTGGCGCCTCCTCAATGTCAATGAACTTGAACATTGCCTGGAAGTCCACCAAAGTGAAGTCGATCACCATCCTGGGCCGCCAACTTCCCGGGCGTCTCCGGGCCGGAAGGCTGAGGGGGAGGCAATTGGCTTTAGATTGCTGGTGTCCCATGCAACGTCATGAACCAGTGGCTTAGCTTGCTATGGAAGTTTGTTCTTTGTAGTTTTGTCGTCACAGATGCGGCTTCTCAAGCGTCCAATTCTCGATCTCCAGATTGCTTCACCCTTCAAATGGTGTCAGTCCTGCCTTTGCGCCCCATTCACGCGATTTCTTGATGCCAAGCTCTGGGCGCGCGGCTTGTTGGGCAGCGGGCCCCCATTGTAAGGGATCATCCTGCCGGCTGCAAAAAGAAAGGAATTGGATGGCATGAGTGGGAGGACAAAGGTGAAGCATCCGCCTGTCAGGCTCCCCAATCTTGGGTCGACACGTGTCCATGTGGCATGGCCAGAACTTCAGCCAGGTATGGGGGCCACTGCTACAGTTCCCAACGTTTGGAGCAAGCCTGACAGGCGGTTGAAACACATTTCGGTGCTGTCGATGGATTCACCCTAGCCAAGTGCTTACTGGCCAGCCGTGGGGAAGCACGGATGTCCTTTGGTGGGTGACCGTACAGGGACACCCGCCCCAAAAAATGGGAAAAGGGGACCGCTGGATGCCCTATGCAATCGCACGTAAGCTTTTCTCCTTGGGAACCAGCACTGCAAAACTGACTTCCGCGCCATGCAATCGCTCCAGCAAAGAATCGCCTCACGCCAACAAAAAAAGACGACACCATGGTCATTTCACGGCGTCTAATCTCTCCAAGTGCTGAGCTTCATTGCAGGGTCAGGCAGCACTGTTGCTGGGCACATTGACATGCTATGAGCGCCCAAGCGGACCCTTCCCGCCCTGACCTCTGCAGGATCTTCAGCTCTGAATTCTCGCGAATTTGATGGTGCAAGCGTGCTCGGTCAAAGGGTTCAGCATACGCGCTTTTCTTTCAGCCAAGAAAAATAGTATGGAGGGGAAGGTGAATGATTTTCCAAAAACCACAATCGAGCGTGCGTGCTCCTTACGCTGCTTCTCATCACTTCAGCCATTGTGCGAGACATGCTCTAAAAGCACGAGGAGTGGGCAATGCTGCTTAGATAGTTCTGGACAATTCATCTGTCGGATGCTCGGCTGTCTTACTGCCATTCAGCCTTCTGCTTGGCAAAGTTTCATTCCCTGGTCTTCAGCACCCACACAAAAACACACCCAATTCCAGGTGTTGCACGTTTCTGGACCATGATTTGTTCTATGCGATCCCACGCTTTTCCCGGCGTGTTTCCCATATTCTGTTTCCGCGCCTTCCGCCTTCCATCTACATCCGTCCTGAGGGAGGTGGGCGGCCGAAAGGCCAGGAAGTAGCCCCGCTTCGTCGCTGCCTCGAAGCGGAAGGCGTGGTCGTAGAGCGGGCCTGAGCAAGCGTCCCCGAGGCCAATTCGGGGAATTCCTCTCACGCTCGAGTCGGTTTCTCTGGGACCAGTTCTCAGTGTTCAAAATGGGGGGGGGATCCGTACTCCGAATCCGCAAGCCGTGGCGCACCGCCAGGGGATGCACCATCTTTGAGGATCAAAGATCTGTGAGCAACCCAGTCCTTGAGGTTCGGGATGTTTGGAACTGATTGCGCGATGCTAAAAGCTGATCACAGGGACAATGGGTGTTGATGAGCTTGGAAACTTGAGGGAGTTGGGGAGGTTCCATGCGTGATCTACCGTGGTTGCATGGGTAGCTCCCACAGTTGCACATAGCCTTACCGGACAAGTCCCTTGAAAAGTGAACATGGGCGAAATTGCAAGGCGGTCCATGCCATAGTCGAAATAGATTTGCCAGGTTTGAGTCCTTGGAATAGAAAAAGGCAAAGGCATTCCACATGAAGCTAGTGCCGACCAACTCCGCTGGATGCTGTCCTGATTCTCTTGCTTTCAAGGCGGACCAAGCACTGTCTCAGAAGTTTTGTACATAAACACAGCCACCCAGTCCAAACTAGTTTAAAGAGGCTGCATCGTCCCTTGGCATCTTGGGAGCATTGGACCTCACAGAAAGAGATGCGCTGGGTGTTCCCTCGAAGTATGGCACAACTCCAGGGCAACCGCTGGAGACCACGATGAAGTTTACGTTGTCGTTCAGCTCTCCTTTCCCAGCCTGGCCAACTTTGATGGGCTTTCCAAGCAAAGCCTGTTTGAGTCATGGGCATTGTTTTCGGTTTTTGATTGGGATCCAGCAGGCTTCAAACCAGGTCTAAAGCTTGAACAATGCTTGGTGACTCACACGCTCGTCTGATACTTTTTGGGGCAGTGACAGTACGGCCGAGCTAAGAAAAAACATGTCTCAACCAGAATGCGCTCGCCATGCGTCTGCGGTGCTCGAATCCCATCGGCTGGCCGAGTAGTGCCAATGTTTTCATGCTATTGGGAACAAGCACAAGATGCCGAAAGCCTTGCAAAGTCCCTTTGCGAAGCCCATCGGGCAATCAACCCTAGCTCGACGCTGCTCGCTCAACATTGGCAGAGATATACTTCAAGTGAAGCCACTAACATAGACACAGCTTCATCAGCAGGTAGCTTGGTGGCCCAAGCAACCTCCTCCAAACATCGCTGCTGACAGGTACCGCGGGTTTTGTGTGTTGGAAGGCAGCTTCCTTGTGAATCCTGAGGGAAGCCTGGACCCAATGCCATGCCTCTCCATCCACCAAAACAAAAACACGGGGAACATAATACTAAAAACCGACTTTGTGCCGCTCAAACCTGTCGGCATGTACATCCTTACAAAGCATCCACGTGAATCAAACCATGCCCCAGCAAACAGCGGGCCCGTTGGAGAAAAAGGTTGGATAGATCCTGCATCAACAAAAAGTGCAGGATCTGCCCCCTCAACACCCCTCCCTGCTTGTCAAAATGAACTGGTGAAAGCATGGGAGGAAACCGGTCGCAATGAACTCATAGATTGCCCAGGTGAGTGTGCTCTTTTTGGAACAGCTGAACATGCGCTTTAGAAGGGTGGGGAAAGCCCCAAGCGCATGCAGGAAAGCAGTCATGACACAGAGATCTCCATGAACATACGCTTTGGGGCCTTGGCCAAGCTTCCTGGCGCAACAAAGTATGTTCAAGCCAGTGTGCATGATATGTACACGTGCTTTCGGCAAGTTTAGGCGTTCAAAATTATGCAGCACTGGAAGATCTAGAAATCAATTCTTGTGTTGAATCTCTGGGATTGCCAGCAACGGGACAACGGGACGGCAACCCACAGAATAGCTCAGCATCTTGTAGTCACTTTTGACTCCCAGACATGAGCCTTTGTCCTCGGTCCGTGCAATAATTAACATCGCTTTAGTTCCCAAAGAAAGGTGCAACAGGAATCCTTGAGGCTGACCACCCCTCTCTGGCCAAAGCGCTACATCGTGACCGTCACTTTGTTCAACAAATGAATTGGTCCCAAATGACCAAATGGTAGCTAGTCGGCTTATCGTTGCTTCTTCTGGACCATGGTGCTTAACTTCCCCCCTCGCCAGTGCATGCTGCAATCTCATTCACGTTGCTCCGCAATTAATTAGGGAGATCCTTCACTCGGAGTAGCCGTGCATGGATAACAACATGCTGCTTAGCATGCAAATGTGCTGCCATGACTGCCACCGTGCCAAACAAACTGGGTCGGGAAAACATAGGGGATCCCTGATCCATAATTTGTTGGACACTTGGGAAACCAACAGACGAAGCCACGTCCGCCGTGCGCCCATAGCACGCCTCCATGAGCTTCAGGTCGGAATCTCGGCCGACCTGGGCGTGAAGACCTTCTCGGATCGGATCAAAACACGGCGCGTTTCGCAAAACGCGACGCGTTTCGCACGGCAAATGGATCGGGCAAATGGATTCAAGAACATTCAGCAGGTAGAATGAGAAAGGTACAACCAACCTTTTCAGCGCTTTGAGAGAATGACTTTTCAGGATTCCGGAACCCAGCCACCAAGACTCATGAACCAAAACGACAGGAGTAGAACCAATGCGCCACTGCCCTTACCCGAGGAGTACCAAAATATTCAAACAAATCTTAAATTGATTGCTTCGCGAGGGTGATCTTTTGATTGGTCGGGAGCTCAATCGGAGAGCGCAGACCGGTGTCAGCAGAAGGTGAGCAATCCTCATGGTTCACTTGTCAATCCCCTGTCAATAGCCTTGTGATACTTGGCCAGTGACGGCACCACAACCAGTTTGATCCCATGAAATACTCGTGCAAGAACTTCCGAGGTTCATTCTGGGCGAATACTACTGGGACAGGCGCAAATGTCAGATCAGCAAATGGCTGAGATCCAACGATTCATGCAGCCTTGAAACCTTGCTTCGGGCAAATAATAGATGCCTTGCCGAAAGACACCCTCAAACCGTTGTGTTTGCAATGATGTTGTACGTGTCACCTCCGGGAGTTGTATAATAACTTCCGCTAAACACAGAAGGGTTGTCAGGGTTGTTCATGAAATACCCACGTCTCATACTGCAAGCCATGAATGTCCAAAGATTCCGTGGCCCTAACAGCCAGCAAATAACAGCAAACGCATGGCACCTAGCCTAAAGTCAAGACATCACAAGCGCGCACACACACAAGAAGAAACACAACCTCTGCATACATCCCCCTTTATACCGACGACCATGTTCCATGGTCCTGAAGGGGTGTCCTTCACTTTGGATGGGCCTGCTGAGCCGCCAGCAGAACCCGAACAGAACGCCTGAACGCCTAAACGCCTCCATGACAGTGGAAACCAACAGAAACCAACCGATCTGGACATGCATCCAATCCCAGGGGATCCAAATGCTGCCTATACGCAGCAAACTGCTCTGATTCCATGCATTGACTGCCGAAAAACAAGTCATGTGAAAAAGGGTCCCTGAGCTCCGCCCTCAAAGCTCCCACACTGCTTCTTGCAACACCGGAAGTTTCAACTGGACCATTTGCATTCCACTGGCAGCTCCACTGGACTATGCGCACAGTTGGCTCAGCCCTCGCCGTGTGCAGCTCTTCCCACACTTCCAGCACCACACACACACACATTCAAACCGTGTCTTCTTTGTTGCCTCGCTCCTGCATCGTCTGCGCTTAAATGTTGTGTGTGTGTGGATGAAGTAATCCTGAAACCAAAAACCAGCTGTGGCACAATGACCTCTTTGACCAACACCTGGCGGCTATTCATGTGGATGCGGGACTTTATGAGCCGCAATCAAGTTGGAAGTGCTGAGAAGGCTGTGTTTGCCACAAGTATGAGTCTGGCAGGGTTGGAGCAAAGCCGTTGGAGACTCACAGGCCCCTGGGCTGTGAATTCAAAGCCAAAGCAGTGACTGGAAAGTATCTTGGTTGACACTGACCGTGGTAATTCAACTTGGCCGGGCCCTTCTCGATGTTCTTTGCTTCAAGTCCACAAAGTTGAGCTGTTTCACAACATATCAACTATATCACGCCGTGCTGTCCCAACAAGCAAGTGCCAACCCACATCAACAAACTGCCAGAGTGTCTCGGGTGCTGCATGCTGGTTGCGTCAGCTGTTCTCCTCACTCTCGCTGGCCGAAATATTTCACCGCGTCAAACGCTGACGATTGTGGCGCCATTTCACGTTCGCCAAATTGTGCAAATGGCAGGAGAGCTCCTTGATCTCCAGCTGAAACGTGTCGGTCGCATCCTTCCTTTCTTGACCGAATCGAAATACGTGTGAGCAGGGTGTTCTTGAAGTATGACTTTCCATAAACTGCCTCTTGCTTTGACATGCGTAAAGGCTTCATTCTTCTGGCCCAGAAGAAAAGATGAGCCGCAAGTGGAGGGATGCATCTGGACTCTCCAGTGCACCGAGAGTGGTGGACTTTGGCGAGTACTGCTACCAACATGGTATGCATCTTGTTCGCAGCTGGGCAGTGACTCAGGGCTTAAGCACAGGTGGGTCGGTTCTATCAAAACAAGAAGATTTGTGGCTGTTGATGCCGGACCTGAAAACAATTCACAATTCAGTCGCTTAGCAACTTTCCCTGTAAACAAGGAAGCCACCTCTGTCTCTGGCTGAGATCTGTTGCAAGTGAGCAGGAGCAAAAGGAGAAACCGGCAGACTGCAGTCTGCAAAAGGCTCTTTCCAGGGCTGGAAAATGACCACTTCTGTGATACAACAAAAAGGGCTTCCCAAAGACTAACCCCCCATATAAAGGGGGAGATTCCCTTGTATCACAGAAGTGGGGATAAACCCGTTGATCCCACAACCCTGGCTCTTTCTGATGCTGTTTCTCCCCTCATTTTCTGACTGGAAGCTTTCGGGCCTTGCCCAAAGGAACTCAGAAAAGCGTTTCTGAGGAGAGAAACCTGAAATCGCGGACTGAGAAAATGGTTGGTGGAGCAAACCAAGTGCACGTTGGAACCAGTTGCCCCCTAGAATTTGTACCAATTGAACAAGGAGCCGATGAACAGTTCACTAGATCTGAATATAATGCATAAGTACCAGCATTAACAAAGGTGTCCTCTTCAGGCATAGTTGTCCTTGCCAACTAAGTAACATCCACCATCGGATGGCCAAATGGTGGCAGCTAGCTGGGCGCACCTCGATCTCAAAACCCAGGTTGAAGCCACCTGGCCGCCCAGCCACCACCTGGCAGGTTCAAAATGTCGGCCCCTCCACGTCCATCAACCTGTAGGATTTGGTGGGTTTGGGGAATCTAGGATTCATGGGCCCCGAGTAATAGAGGGGTCGCCAACTGGTGGGATTCCAATGCTTTGGCTACAGCCTGATGTGGTTGATTCCCGACATATTGCAAGTAAAGCAACTAAAAACACTACAATGCAAACCAGCATGAGTTTCCCTTCGGGTTTCTGCTAGTTTCCGAGATGCCCATGATTCTCGAGTGATGATGAACCAGGGCAATGAAGTGGGTGCAACAAAGCCAGCGAATGCTAGCAACATGCGGGATAAATTTGAAGCCCTTGGTTGCGCAAATTAAATCATACGAAGCGCAAACTGAGGATACCTGGGGCATTTGCTTCTTCAAGCTGGCAGGTGAAGGCTCTTGTCCAGCCTAAACAGGGAACCGCAGAATTTGGTGTTGCGCTTGTTCTACAAACTGGGGGTAGGTAGGGGTACCTTGTTTGGTGAAGGTGCCATGAACCTTTCTGACATTTCGAGTTGGCCAACCTGAATTCGGACTGTTCATTCCGAACGAGGCTTTACCGCGACCCGCTGGGCTTTGGGCCGAGATCGCGCCAGCGCTCTGAGCCAAAGCCAAGGCCTTCTCCCCGGCGCTGGATCGGGTCCGCGCTTCCAGAGCGCGGATCCGGCACATGTTGTTCACATCTGGCAGCCTGGCCAATCGACCGGACCGGCCAGGAAACCGGAAGCCTTTCAAATCCTCCAAGGTGTCTGTTGGCTTCTCATGGCGTCAAACGTGTTTCCTTGTTTTTTAATGGCTGCTGTCTTGATGACTTTCCCTCGAGGCCTTCCATTTGCCCGGAGTTGAGAACTGGTGTCCTTCGCTGTTGAGAAGGGTTCGATCGAGAATTCCTCTGAAACCAGTCCTCAGTGGCCAAGTTCCTTCTGCAAAAGCGCATGCCAGCGGCGCCACCACAGCGAGAGCTTGGCGGCTCGGAAGAAAGGTACAAACCTCGCTGCAAAAGCTGCGGAGTCTTGAGTGAACTGCAAACCAAGGGGAACCAGTCGGCCCATGGAACCACACTGTGCCTGTGAAAACCAAAGACACCGCCCACACCATGCACTATCAGTTTTCGGTAGACTGTGGATCCTTTCAACAGGACAAGTCACCATCCACCAAAGCCGGGTCGCCTCCGCCACTACTTGAACAACATGCATGCCGGATTTGTTTGGATGAGCTTGCTAGCAAAAATATAGTGCTTTCAAGCAGCCCTTTTTCAACAACAACCGAAGAAAACAACCATGAGTGAAACTGACCCTCTCTGAGCACAAATGGAACATCCACAATCCAGGAAACCTGACTGGGTGACTCATAAGAAACTACTCCCCTGAGCAAAGTATTCCTTGAACAAACTATCTGGACTTAGAAGCCCTGCGCAGAACCCGTGTTTAAGCCGGTCAATGGGGGAGCTAACGGAAACAGCCTGCTACAAACAGATGCACACATGAAACACAATGACCCCCCTAGTCCTGATCATTTCCTCTTGACTCATTGTATCGCCAACTTGTTTCTTCTTGCCCTTGGATGGTGTCAAAATATGGGGAGCCCCAAAATGGTGGCTTTCCCTCTGGTTTCCTAGTGCTTCTCTTTCAAACCCGAAACAGGGCTACCGCGAGCGCTCAGCTCAGGTTCCGCACTGGTCCAGGCCGCCCTTGCCATCCAGTCGTGCGTCTGCACGCGAGTTCACCTACCCGTGTTCGGCTCCCTGTTCGCGAAATGATTCGGGAATAATTTCGCAAACGATAAATTCGCCGACCACGCATTTTTTTTGGTGAAAGAAACCAGATCCCAAAGGAAGCGCTGCACCGAACATGAATGTCCAGGCGACCTCCGCACGGGACAAGTGCCGCTTGAGTTTTGCCCCCTCTGGCGGCATCCAGGAAACATGCAGCCAACATCTCACAGGAACAAACACGCTGCGCCACGAGAACACTTAAAGTGCACCTCTGCCCGATTCCCCTTGGCCATCTTGCAACTATGAACTCCACTGCCTTACATTGCATTCATCTCCGGAGTCGGGCGACCGCTCAAGTCTCCTGGAACTGAGCTCCCCTTTCTCCCCTGCTTGCCTCGCACTGGGACATGGCGCGCTCCGAGGCATAGCGCACAAACTTGTCTGGGAACCTAAGGAGGCGGTCAAGTGGCTTGGCCAGGCTTCTTGAGAACAAGGTAGGAAAACAGCAAAAGGGCTGGCAGTGATATTGACATCGGGCAACATCGGGCAATAACGCAGCAATGACACGACTTCCAAGACCGAGTCAAACAACGTAGAGGATGCTGCAAAAAGTTTGCCGTCAGCTACTGCTTCCTTAGGGGTGTAGTTAACCAACATATCATGGAAGATCACAACAAGCAGCATGTGCTTCACAAAGAGAGAGCTGACTTGCGTCTTCCGGGCCCCGGGCCCGATGGGCTGCAGCATGAACTCGCGGGGGATGCGCTGCCGCGGCGCCAGGTTCGCCGCCTTCCGAACATGGGGACGTCAAGGCGCCCAAAAGGCGAGGACCGGGGAGGTGTCCGGGGGACAATGGGAGAGGCTGGAAACCACAGAAACAAAAACACCTGGATGGCTTGGAGAAGGAAACTTTGCAGAGCATGCTCCGTGTGCAACAACAGCGATACCAACATGACCAGCTATACCACAAGCAGTAGGCAGCTTCCTAATGCCACAGAACTGATGACTCGGACATGTCCAATCAAACGTTTTGAAGGTTGCCCGCGCGGCCGGTGTCATGTTGGAAACAGAGGCTCATCACGTTATTGGGGCAGTTTTCAGCGCGGCGTGATTCCTTTTCTTGAAGCCAACAGCTCGAACTTGACAGCTGTACATCCACATATTCAGCACAACTTATGGCTCTTAGGCCTTCCACCTAGGTAAAGAAGTTTATCTCAAAGTGCCATATTGCCAACTTGGCTCGGAACGCACATGCTTCACACAGGTACAAAAGAAGAACAAAGCTTGCTGTTTGTGCAGCTGCAATGGCCATCCATCAGCCGCCGATACATCAAAAGGAGCATGCTCTCAACAAACACAGTGTCTATAGAAAGAATGCCCATCCTTTCAGTTTGAGGCAAGAGTTTGTGGGCAGCGCCTGGTTTGCAGATCCACAGAGTTCTGACACCGGCACCCAAACCATCTTGAACCTTCGATGTTTGTGAGGGAGTCTCTGACAAATGACACCAAGAAAGTCATACACAGCAAGTTGTCCGGCAACACACGTTGGCAAGTGCAGTGAAGTACACCTTTCCAGGTGAAATGTAAACAAGTATGATGCACACTCCAACCCCAAAGCATGGGCGAAAACAACAATATGCGGCGTGCATTTTGCGTGTCAAAATGGCTGATGCTTTCTGGAAGCCAAGTTGATTTTTTTCCTTCTCCCCTTGGCCATCTGCATATCCGGTCGCCGATCCGATCCGCATGCGGCGCATCTGGCGAATGGGCCTGCCTGCATGTCCGGGCCCTGGCCCCGCTTCTGCCGCAGCAGCGCCTGCCGCTGCGCGTCGTAGGTACTGCCTCGAACGGCTCCGAAGGCCGGAAGGCGCGAAGGCCATGCGCATGTTTGCTGCTTTCTGCACAAATGCAACATTTAAATTTGCTGCTTTGTGCAAACGGTATTTATTTTATGGAGAAGGGATGTGTATGTCTGTGCCTGTTTGAGTGCCTGGGATAGGCTTGTAGCCGTGAAAGGACTATGGGGTCGGCCGGCCGATGTCAGCCGGTGGGTTTGGCCGCCTAAGAGTCTGATCAAATTGCTCTGGACGCTTCTTCTACAAGAAGAACCTCTACTTTGGGAAGGTGTGTCATTTGTTGTCGTGATGCAAATATTTGTCCTGATGCACAACTGAAGGATATATGCGATCGTTTCTTGACAAGCTGAGCGTAACTATCTGATATGCTGCAAAAGACCTGTCTGAAAACACCAAGGAACTTGGTTTGCCAAGCACATAGCTGAACTAGGTGAAACTGATGCAGGAGTCCCTTCACTGGCCTGCATTCGCAGCAATCTCATCCCCTCCCATCCCCATGAATAAACCCTATTAAGACATGCTTCTCAAATTCCAAGATTCCAATACCAAACGAGAATCAGGCAATATTAAACCAAATCCCAACTCCCAGATTTTCACCGACCTCAGCTACAGTTGTGACAATTGTGCGAAGTGATTCTTCTGGCTGCATGCCCATTTCTTTACACAGAAAAATGAATCAACTACAGCAAGTGGAATCGGCATGTTGCCTGTATGGTGCATCTCCAGTTTTTTCCTGATCTGTAAAGGCAACTTCTGGACTCGATACTGGGCTTTGGGCCTGTCCAACGCCGTGCAACACAGCGTCAAGTCATCGACGCGGCCACTTGCTTGGAAGATCATGCCGGCGCTAAACGAAAACAACACCATTTAGCCGCCGGCTTAGGATCGGCTGCCAGTCTCAACTGCGGGACTTGTGAGCTGATTCTGCCGAGCTGCGCTTCGTGGCGTTGCTGAGCGTCTCCTCAGGCTCAGCAGATCATGTACACAAGCCCCATGTTTGGCGTGGTTCCAGCCATGGCTGCGTGCGTTTACTAACACTCATCTCAGTACCAGCAATGTGATCCAACAGGAAACACTGGTTAAGCCAAGATGTTTGGTCTAGCGTCTTGTTGAGAAGCCACAAGCCAAAGCGAGAAGGGGTTGAGGGAAAGTCCGCTCGTTGAGGATGGACAGCACTAAATAAGTATATTTTTATTGTGAATCAAAGTAGGACTGCCTTTTCTTTTCCTGGACCAAAGCTAGTTGCTATGTAAAAGGGTTTTAATATCTGTTTGGATGATAGTTTAAGTGGGACCTTCTTTTCCAAAACAGGATGTTAACCAAAGTTAACTGCATTCTAGACGGGATGTGGGAAGGTCTTGGATAGCAGCAGATGAGGAGTGGAGAACATTGGCAGAGGTGAAAGATGGCAACCGTCATCACCTCCTCGTTGCTTACACATGACTTGTTCAGCTCTTGCTCAGCTATTTGTTTTAAAACATGAGGACACAAATGCAGATGCGTATATGTTGCTTTGACATGTTGGTACTTGGTGGGTGCAGACACAAATGAGCAATGAGCAAATGAGCAGGTGACTCATTCAGACCTGGTTGAATGAACCCAAAATGCCGAAATGTAGGTCGTGGGGGGGGGAGCATACATATATATATATAGAGATATTATATATATATATGTATGTATGTATATATATATATATTATATATTAACACACATTCTGAGTCTCAAAGACTGTCAGGCACGGTCACAGGCGGTCACACACGCACGCGCTGGCCCTCGGGACTGCCTGTCTTGGATGGCCAATGAGGGATACGGGGGCTCCATGAAACGTGAACCAAGCAAGCATCGTCCGCTGCAACTGAAGCCTTCCACAAGCCATCCGGTCAAGACCTGACAACATGGCCACGTATGGGTGCGAAGGTTCATCTTCAGCTCGCTTTTCTCAGAATTTGGAATACAAACAACCAAGGGTGCAGCCTCAAGTCACCCAACTTAAGCACATGAGAGGCAGCAAACTTCAGGGCTTCAGCCAAAGTGACCATCTGCCCCGGTTACCGTTTCGTCTAAGAAGGCATTCTATTCCGTTTGGTGCCCATGCAAATTGAACATGTTGCAAGCGCGCCCGACCAACTGAGAACATCACTTCGATGGGCTGGTTACTGAGAAACTTGGCACATCATGGATGACGAGCTTCTTGTGCGTTTGCCACGTCTTGATTCAATCATTGCCTTGGCAGGGCCATTGCTTTGTCATTGTAGCCATCCCTGGTAGAGTAGAGGTCCCAATTTCAGGTGGAATGGATAACCCTCTGCCAAACTTCATGGTTTGTAAACATTGTAACATGCAAGCCATGGGAATCCAGTTCTATTTGCTCAAACCTATTCTTGCCAGAGAGGAATCGGAGAGCCAACGAACCCCTCCCGTCCCCGCACTCGGCACAGCGAAACCAGCCGTGGGGCGTAAGCGTTGTTGATGGCCCGGATCTTTTCTTCTGCCTCCATCGAGTTGAATTTGCAGCGGGTTCCCATGGCCCCCAGAGGAGTTCGCCACGCGTTTTGCCCCAAACGTGCGAAGGTGCGCCGCGCGCCTTTCGTCCGCCACTAAAGGTGGGCTCCTGGTTTTGAGGTGCGAAGGTGGCAGCTGTTCGCCAAACACGACAGAACACGACCATGGAACTGTTCCAGTCGCCGTCTCTTTCCGGCAAGGATCGTGGCCTTTCTCCTAGTGACCAATTCAGATGCACTCGCCAGTTGGCACTACAAGCACAAGTTAGGACTTGCGCCGTCTACCAACGCACCCTGGGCAAGGCAACACATGTAACCCCGCAAGTCTCCGCCTGATCCCGGCCCTCCGGGTGCTTGTCTGGATGCCACTTCAGCACCAGCTTCCTAGCACGAGCTTCCGTGGTGTTTCGACGAATTCTGTCCAAAGTTGCTCAAGGAGATTCAGTGGGAGGAGACTTCAGATCTGCATTTGGAGTTCGAGCTGGGCCCCCCTACCTATTCCTCTGCTTCTGGATCTCACCTGCTTTGACCCTCAAATTCTTAGTGTCATTCATCTGCGCAAAGATCTTGCACAAAACAAGCCACCAGACTGCCCAAGTCAACACGGATCCGCAGCGCGCTTGCGGGCGGATCCCCCCTCGAATGGTCGTTGAGATGCTCGGTGGGAAGTGGCAACTCTAGAGCATAGATCTAATGCTTCGGACGCGGAATCGAACACAATGTTGACACGGGCGTGCACTTGATTGAGCATGCCCTCACAAAAATTGGATGCAGCAATGAACTCGGCAGGTTTACATGGCCCTCCCAGCATGCTAAAGCCACGATTGCTCTGTTGCTGTTCAGTTTTTGGGCCCACTGCACTACCAGAAACCTTCCTGAAAGGAGCTTCCTGGTAGCTGACGTCACTGGCAAGGTTTAAGCAGTGGCTTCCAATCCCAGGATGGTTGGGCCCGCTGAGATGGAATTACAGAAACGAAAGCAATGATTTGGCCGTGCACATGGGGTGCTTTGCGCATCCTCTGGGCTTTTCGACCTGGAACATGGGTCTGTCCAAAGCCGCTTGAAGCTTCTGGACAAAGCCGTCGGATCTCAACCTGACAGTTGATCCGTTCCGACGAGATGAACGTCGTGACGGAGGCTGGCTGCGACTTACTCCTGGCAACTCTGCGAAAATTTGGCACGCCCGTCCTGTAGGCCTTCTTGATGTCTTTTTCATCTGCATCCTCTGCCACCTCCAACCTTGGCTCAGGCAACCGGACCCAAACTGCCGATGTCGGTTGGGAAAAGGACGATGTCTGTTGGGCAACACCATAAAGAGTGTCTGCTAGTCTTCTTCCCCGAAATGTCCAGGCCGTGCCCAAACACACCCCGAGTGCTCAACGATCAATCCAGCCAAGGGCGATTTGGTCCAGCCGAGCTGCGCCCCGTAGTGGTCCACGATATCCAGCTCGTGCTTCTCCTCAGCCAGTCAGAGGAATCCAGCGTGCCACATTCCAATGGAGAAGCTCCAGGTGGGGAACCCAAATTTCGCCGTGGAAGCCTTTCAGCCCTCAGCCCCAATGAAAGCTCATGGCGGGACAGAAACGTCCGGCAATTTGGCAGCTCTCCCCAAGGAATATTGGGAGCCACCAAACACGGCATCACTCCACGTTGTTGTTTGAGGTGTCAAGGCATGGAATTCAGTGGAGTGGAGGTGTTTATTCCCTTTTAATTTGCATTCACGTATCAAGCTTTTCCGCGAAACCACTCGCGAAGCTTCCGCGGTGTGCAGGGTACCTTCCGCGAGCATGTTTCTGCATAAGTTTACATAAGTGCTTCCTCGGGCCGTCCGCGGGCAAGTTGCTTCTGGAAACTGAGGAGGATAGCTTCCGCGAGGGAATTCGTGTGCACGATTGGCTAGTAAACGTGATTTGCAACAGCCACCCAAACGAAACCAACTCTGCTATGCGCAAGTCAACAACGTTCCTTCTGCGAGCTTTTTGCGGGAAACACCTTCCGCAAACCTTCCGCGGCTGCAGTGCGTCGCTACCTTTTTTCTTGATATGTCAACATCTATACATGTTTGCCTGAGCGGGAACAAAAACGCCACTCAGCGGGAAGCAAAAGCAAGAAGCTGCGACAGTCAAAGAACATGGACAGTCGCTCGTGTCCCCATGCAGCAAATGGCTTCACTGTCACACACACACACACAGTACCGGTCTGATACACTTCTTACCTACTTGCACAAACTACCTCGATCATGCCTTTCTTTGGCAGGTAATGGGTATCCTTCATGAGGAGTGAGGCGTCCAGCCCCAGTAGTATTGCAAGGACAACAACTGACTGAAACGACCTCTATGGCTTGATTCGTGCAAAGAAATAGAATGCTGTGGACGTGGGGTTGTGCCGTTCGCATGTGACCATGAAGGTCGGCCGCGATGGAGAAAGCAAAGCTGAGCAAGCCGGTAGAAGATGCTTCCCACAGTAGCAATGGGTCACACTTACGTACGATGACAGTGCGGCCTGGGTTGGGCAACCCCCTTGTTTAAACAGGTTTTACCCACTAGTTGTTTAATCAACATCCCTTTGGTTCCAAATCAAGAAAAACCGGGGGCCAGTTGTTTAGACAGTGCTTCTCCAACCAAAACTGCAGCTCTCCCGGTAGGCTCCTCCTCTTGTGGCGGCGGCGGCGCTTTGCCTCCCTGCCTGGAGTCTGCAACTCCGTACGCCTTTTTTCACGCGCAGAGCCTCAAGTTGTGATGCTGGCTTCTTGGTTGGACTTGCTTCCATAGACTCTGAGATGCTTTCTGTCTAGCCTCAACCAATCTGTCTTTTCAGCCTGGGAATGAACAAACGGCTGACCTTAACGATCATGGATGCTGATTCGCACTCCCAAGGAATTCAACCTTTTGAAACTTCCCCAAGGTAGCATCAAATCCGTGAGACCTTGATCTGCGGCAAGGGTCTGCACAACCGCTGGTTGGCTTGTTCACGTCTGACAAAGTTCAATTTGACTCGTACAGCTGCCAGTGCAACAGCAAAACAGGGAGCATTAGGCTCCATAGCATCCAGCTCCCAAATCAACCGCCACCCACCAAATGTCAATTTGCCAGGAAGAGTTTCAAGCGGCACGGTGTCCGAAGCAAACCAGATACGAAGAGCACGGCCCTCGCTTCTAGGTGACTCCCGCAGCTTCCCAGCCTTTCTCGCACGTTCTGCGCCGTCTTGCAGATCCAGGCCTCTGCCATTTCCGGGAGTTCTTGGCTCACGCGGATCGATCCACTTCCTCACCCTTGTTGAACTTCTTGCGCACCACCCGGCACCGAAGCATGGGATCCGTTTCTCTCTGATTCCACCAAAACAAGGGGGGGGGAGCTCTTAAAAAACACATGCAGCTCGGAAGATCGCAGGCCCATCACACCAACTCCCCAGCTGCTTGAGTAAGGGGAAGACCGAGGGGTTGCGGATGCCGGGCCCCTTCTGCTCCAGCTCCTGCCCATTCAAATACTTGCTGCCGGGCGCGTGGGTAAGACAAATCAAGTCTGCATCAACCAGTGGCAGGTGACAAATGTTGGTTTGGAAAGGTCAGGGTTGGGCCAAACCCTTCAAACATATTGAGACCGTAATGATCAAAACTGTTTGGACCAGGGTCTGCTTGCGTTAACCATTTTGCCCCCGTTTCGCTATTTCGGCAGACCTATGCTGACACCCCACTTGGCCCGGATGCCAGGAAACGAGGGCGCAGTGTGTTGCCGAGTTTCAAACATGTCCAAAGATGGTGAATGCACCTTCCCGGCAGCGCAAGCGATGTCCAAGGCCGGTGCCCAAGGCGTCACAGCGACCATGCACGACTCGAGCGTAAGTCTGAGATGCTTCAACAAACATTTCAGCAAAATGATTGGTTTCAGATGTAAGTCTGAGAGGTTTCATAAGTTGAATATGTGGCTCTCTAACACAAGGGATAATATGATGTTCCCATTGTGCCCGTCAGTCGACACTGGCTGCTTCCCGTCCAGGGTTCCCAGCGATTGCCATGGAGAAAGACGGTCGTACAAGTGACACGGGTCGAATCTGTCTGATGTTCCACGCAGTCCGGACATTTCACACACACACACAGACACACACGTCACGCACACATTTCACGCACATGTCCAAAGTGCACATGTCTTTCTCGAGCGTGTGTCCTGCAGGGCTTTCACCGCGTCCCTCACGTCCAAGCTATCCAGCGCCTTGGGCTGAACGCGGCTGGCGTCGTGACTGCCCGCGCCGAAAGAAAAACACATCCGCACACTCGAGCAAATCGTCAACGCCACAGGTGGCAGTTCCAATCAAACGGCCCCTGGATCTTCCAGCCAGACCTCCAGTGGCCATGGGCAAAGAAGGACACCTTTGTCTTGGTGGTTCGGAACAAAAACTACTAAGAAAGTTTGAAGGGATCTAAACAACTGCCTGGAACAAAGCGGCCGTTTCTTGCTTGGTTGATTTTCAGGGGAACCCTTTTGAACAAAGTTCAACAAGTTCACTATCTTCATGCCAAGGCGCCGCCAGAGCCTTGGTGTCCAGAGTCGAGAAGCGGGCCAGCAAGGCTTGCAGCTGCAGCTTGTCCTGGCAGCGAGAATCCATGGGCCGCAGGGGTGAGAATTTGCCCCCATGCAAACTCATGGCCTGCCCCAACGTAACAAAGCATGACCCTCAAGAACTAAACAGCATGGGGCTACCTGCACCCGTCTCACCCCGCCACGACTGATAGAAAGGACCCCAGGGCGGTAATTACCCTTGCCCCCTACAAACCTGACAATGGTCCGGAAGGCACCACATCAAACTGGGTACTCCGTTTGCGTCAACTCAAGCAGAAACCGTATTTCAGAGGGCCCTGAACTAAGACAACCGCCCACACGCCCACATCCTGAAGAGCAAACTTCGCACACCAAGCACGTCCTCCTCGGTGGGGGGCGGCCTCTCCTCACCTGTCAGCACTTTCACCACGGGTCTGCGGACCGGTGAACCCGCAAAATCTGGGGCCTAGTTTCAGAGAGGACCGCCATAGTCGGCGGGAGTAGGTCCATATTTGGAGTTGGTTTGCAGTGGCGGCATCCCTCAAACAAGGGTACCAAATTGTACCACCAGCGACTTTCTCGACGAGGTGTCGTAGTCCAGCTTTCAATTCCGATGCCTCTCATTCGTTCAAACCCGATAAGGTGTACGCAACCATTCAGCATTCACGATGCAAACTTTGATTGGAGCCTTGCTCATGCCTCAATGCTGCAAATGCGAAACAATGGATTTCCCGCAGTCTCCCTGTTCACCAGGTCATAGGTAAATTAGCCATTGACAGAACCCTCTGCAACAACAAGTGAATCACAAAAACCTTTCTTCAACAAAGATTCTCCTCTTCACAAAAGTAGAGAAGTGCTGGTATCTGCTGCTCAGTCCCTGCGCTCCGCCCCCTCCCCTCAGGGGTTCGGGGGAACGAATTAAGCCATGTCAAAGGGCCACACGCCTTACCACTTACTACTGCTGACTTGGAATGTCGATTGGCCTTGCTTCAAATTCTTGCTCTTCGCCGTTCAAAAGAAGCGTTCCAACAAGAAGACACGGCTATTGCCTCTCCCCCCCTCCCCCCGTCGGCCTTTCGACTCATTGTCAAAGCGCCGGCTTTTGGCTTTGCGCTGCTCCTCAGCGCCGAAGCAAAGGCGACCAAATCAGACAAAACTCAAGAACCATGAAACACCTCAACCCATATTTGGCACAATCCCACAAGTGAAACACATAGCTTCTATTGGTTTGTTCGAGCCCGCGCAACGCTTCCCTAATCAACGTGTCCCCCTGAGCGGCACTGAAGCGCGGTTCGATTCAAAATGCTTTCTCAACAGCCAAGTTGAGCATGGCCAAATGGGGTAAAAGGATTGGCCGCAACCCTGTGCCCAAGCACCTGAGCTCTTGCTTGCAACGATGTGTGACACAGTGGCCCAGCTGGCCTACCAACACAGGCCAGCCAGCTGAGCCAACACAGAAGCCCACAGGCTGAACAGGCACTTGGGCCCGGCTCGAACAAGATAATCGCAGGGAAGGTGGGAGGGAGCAAAAAGTTTCCACGGCCGAAATTCAGGGGGCAGCCCCCTCTCCCGAGCTAGAAAACTCAGCAAGGTTTGATGCCTGCTAGCTGGTACACGCAAGGCAGCTCATTCTGTAACAACAGCACCTGAGTTCTTTTCTGCATGGCCCAGTGGCCTACCAACACAGCCAACTGCCCAACCACAGAGTGTTGCGCATGTCCAGCACATCCAGCCAAGAAACGGGACTCCCAGCGCAAACAGGAAGAGCAAGCTGCTGCAAGCGACAACGGGCGACCAAAGCTGGCAGAAGGCAAAGCCCGTCATCCAAAGATCTGAGAAAGCGCTGCGCGCTTTCCAGCAGGAAGGCGAACCGTTTCCTGAATGTGTGCGGCAGGCTTTCCGGAAACAGCGCCCTCGCGGGAGAGGCGCGGCTTGCGGCCAACAGCTGCAACAACCCCAAATTGCCCGGCCACAACATTGGCAAACTTGCTTCCATTTCCCCGCCACGCAAATCCACTAAGTGGCTGGCTTTCAAGTCTTTTTCAATTAAGCCCATTGCGATCTTCATCAGAAGAGACATTCAGCAAGTGCGGGAAGCCTTGCAGGGTCAGAAACAGAACCAGCGGCGCGCACGCGCAGCTCTGCGTCATACAGCAAGGCAAACACGACTAACCAGATTCACAGCTGACAGCCGTCAAAACGTTTCTTCAAAGTGCTGGGCGCGCGGTCAAGGAAGAAGCGGCGCAAAGCGCTATGACTAACTTCTGTGAGGCGCTAAAGCTCTGGCGCGAATTACCCATTTCTGAGCCCAAGCAAGGCGCTCCACGCCCTCGCCTCGCGCGCAGACTGCGCGACTCAGCAGACCAGGAGCTTGCCCGCCGCAGCCCTGCCCTGCGGGAAGGATCGCCAAGGCGGCATGTCCAACTTTGCGCGCTTCACAGGAGGGCGTGGGGCACCGGCGCCAAAATTCACGTGCGCCAAGTGCTGGGCGGGCAACGGCATGTGGCTGTCAACACCCATTAGGCACTTCCAAGGCACCATTGCAGCAAAAGAAAAAGCGAAACGCAACGCAAGCAAAAAGCTTCCACTGGTCAGGGGGCAACCCACCCCCCTCTCCCTAACAAGTTGAGCTGGACTTGCAAGATCGCATGGGCATTGGGCTCAGCAGGGTTTGATGCTTGCCAGCTGATGCAGGCAAGGCAGCTCTTTCGGCGCTGTCACCGTGTCCTTCTTGCTGCTTTGAGGCACGATTACATGTCACTGTCTACGTTTCCACAGCCAGGATCATCTTTTGAGCCATTGGTCATGATATCGAGAACGCAAACTAGGACACTTCTCAAAACACCTTGATGTTTGCGAAATAGCATCAAGCAACAGCAGTCTAAAAGCCGACCATACAAGGTTGGGAGTTGTCATAACCGAACGGAATGGTATCAGGAGGCCTTCATCCGGAAATCAATGAACTGCTTTTCGGGCCAGCGGGCTTGTTTCCACAAATGAATAACTGCCTTGCTTGAAAACAGCCAGGGGCAATCGTGATCAAACACTCGCTCTACCTTTCACCCAGGCTCCTCCTCCATGTTTCTGCGCGCTTCCTCCGCACGTCGCTTGGCCTAGCCGATTGCTTCCGTGCTCATGTTGGACGCCGACATTCAGCTAACATCTGGTCGCCCTTCCAGCTTTCGACCAGAAAGGGCAGGACTGTGAATTGAAATAAATTGATTTTGATTTAGAACCTCACGCTCCATCGGAGGCCATGGTTTGCCTTCCAGCCGGGGGCACCAACCCACACACACACACACAAACCAAAAACAAGCAGAGGCAAATGCGTGTACGTACACATTTGAACATGCGTAATTGTATATGTCAATGTGTCTATTCCTTTCTAGACAGAAAGCCTCTCTGCGCCAACTGCAAATTATGTGTGAATGGTACACACGCACCTGCCTAAAACTACTCCTTTCAGGCCAGTCTCATCCGAGTGGTCCCCTTTGCGAGAGTAAATGACAAGGGAATAGTCGGCTGCCATCATCCTTGTCAAACTCGAGGATTTACTAATTCATCATTTTCCCGTGTAAGTCGGAATTCCTAATCCATTGAAAGTCGCAATACTCATGGAAACCGTCAACCCCTTACAAACAACACACACACACACACACACACACACACGCAGGCATACAGAGACACACCACCTTCCAAAAGCACAGGCTGCCCTCATCCCAGGACTAGTGCCAGCCACTTGCCTCGCCGATGGTGTCCTCAAAGGACTTTCCAGACCTCGGACTGGCGCGAGATGGACGAAATCCACGCTGGCACCAGTTGGGATTGGTGTTATTTTTGTTTTTTAAACCCGGTATTCATAGGGTGTGCGTCCATGCGAGCAGTGCAGGGTTTTCGTCCAACAGTGTGGGTGGACTGACTGCATGTTGTTTTTTTAATTTGTGTGGAACGTACAAAAAAAGGGCGGCCGAAACCTCAATCCAAAAGAGGCTGGGAAACTCAGAGCAGCCTTTTGACTCAATACCTTCTAGTATTGGGAAAGACTTGGCGAGTTGTTGGTGCAGTGTTGATCATTCGTTGGGCGCGATTGAACTTGCCGGTAGCCCTTCAGCATTCTCCTGCAAACGCGCTCTTCATCTCTCTTCCTTTCGTGAAGCCACTTGCCCTCCACGGCAAAGTAGCAGAGATGCCCCACTTACTGTGTCTGTTTGCATAAAGTATGTGTAGGGTGTGTTTCGTCGCAGCTTTCCGTGCTCGATCGGGCGGACCTTGCCTTCGGTTACCTCAAAAGTTGCTGTTTTGCGCTTGAGTTCAAAGCCAGAACCACACGAACAGAATTGTCACCGTAAGATGCCAACCAACCACATGCTGCTGCCATATCCAGGGAGATGTGTCAGGGTGCCCTGGCGCCGCCACCGGGCCCTTGCCCAGAAAGCCAGGCGCTACATGTGGCCAGCTTCGCAAAAATGCCGGCTTTCCGCGGCAAAAGCGGCATCTTTAAACTTGCGCTCTTTTTTGATATTATATTTTTGTGTACGCATTCACGAACTCCGGCTCATCTAGTGAATACAAACTCATACTCCACCTCATCTGCTGCAAAGCTATGCAGATGACAGCCAAACCTCTGTACAGCACGTGCTGACTCATGCTGCCTCAAAAATTTGACAAATTCGCAATCCTCCTCACCCCTCAGCATCAAGGCTCACTGGCACCAGAAATATAGTCTGGGCTTCATGACTAAACTTTGTGCAAGTTGACCTTTTTGCGGGTTCCGTGCGTTTGGCTGTGCAACAACTCCGAGTGCGAAACAAACAACAAACATCTCCGGGTACCGCCGCAAGGCCATGAAAGCCTATGTCTCTGCATCGCCCCGTTTGTTTCAATATTGAATTTGAGTGGTGACCTGCCCTTTTAGAAAGCATGAGAACCAACGTCGGAATTGCATCAACAAAACAGCACCTGAAAATCTCAACCCTCAAATCCAGCTGTCCGTGCAGGAAGCTCTTAGATCCTTCACGTCAGTGAGCCTTGATGTAACCTTGACGCTTCCCAATGAATCCCAGCACAAAACATGTTGAGGGCATATTCTGACATCGGGAAGGGATTCAAAGGTTCTAGACGTGCAATTCGCGCGCACGCCCGACTTGCCGGCCTTTCCTCAAACAATACCTGCGGACAGAAAAAAACAACAACTACATGACTCACGTGTGAACGCAAAAAACTCCGGCTCATCTGGCCAACGCAAAAACTCATCACAAACTCCACCTCATCTGCTGCAAAGCTACGCAGATCACAGCAAAATCTCTGTACAGCACGTGTTGACTCATGCTGCCTCAAAAATGTGATGAATTAGCATTCCTTATCACCCCTCATCAAGGCAGCCATGCTAGTGCTTGCTCCCTTCTTTGTATTGTCACAAGCAAACCACGATGCATCCTGAAGTTTAAGCAGTTGAACAGGCACAGAGCTAGTATGCTATAAGATATGTTACCTACAACGTCTCTCCGACAACCGTGGGACATTAACACAGCACGTCTGTAAACGGAGCTCAGTGAGGCTCAACGTAGACCGCCTTGCCCTTGCCCTTGCCTTTGCCTTTGGCATCCGCTCCCATGCCGTAGCTCACAGCCTGCCCAGCTCGGAGCGTGCCTCAAATCGCGGATCGATTAGCCACAGGGCCAAGGGGAAGTGGGCAAAATTTTCAACCATGAAGAAACCTCCAATGGAGTCCAACGTGCTCGAGAATGAAAGTCCAGGGAATTCCTACACTACTTCTGGGCTCGGCGAAAGCAGTCTCTGAGGTGCCTTGCAGCGAAGACAACAGGCCCGTTTGCATAGGTCGCTTTTCGGATGGCTCTGATGCCCCAAGTCGCCGATAGAGCAACTCAAAATTGGCGGCCCATATTTGACCATTGCCCTCCATTCTGGCCCCAAGATAGCACGGAAGGGTCAGTTTGAGGCAATGAGAGTTTTGTCGGCGGTGCGTCGAAAGGTCGTCCAATGCGCCGAGCTGCGATAGCCAGAGCCTGAGATGGCGGTGAAGTGCACGTAGACGTCTTGGTTGCCATTGTCCGGCGAGATGAACCCTGCGGAAGCTTTGGGCCGGTTCCAGAGGGTCTTCGCGCCCATTAAAGGGGCGTGTTGCCTGGACTAAACAGACTTAAAGTATCTTGAAGTAGTGTTGCCAGTGCAACACGGGGATTGCGGGCTGAATCGTGGCACATCGTGAGGCTAAATTTGACCCATGCCCCAGTTGAAGTGGGGCCTCTGAAGGCTGCAGGAACATTGCCGAGGAAACATTTGCCGGATCACATGAACACACTTCATGGAGACATTTTATGTAGGCCCCGTCCAAAAAAAGCAACACATGGAATTTCTGGAACACCCCTTGTTTCAAAAAGCACTCAAGATTGTGTGAATGCACATCGCGGTGAAAAGGAAGATCTAGAACTTGTCTTCACGCTGAGTAGTTCCATGAACCTTATCGCGCAATAATTGACCTTCAAAATGTAACATGTTCCTGCAGGTTCGCCTGAATGGCCAACGCGACGCGCTGAAGCTCAATAGGAGAAGGCACACTCACCCAAACGGTCACATGACATACTACGTAATCCTACACGTTCAAACAACATGAGGGCTAAAATCTGGGTAGGAGTGATTGACATTTCAGGGCTGCCTTTCCACCAATGAACCTGGAAGTGGGCAGGGCCCCCTTTGCAAATCATGTCCCCATGGCGATGTTGCACTGGCATGGAGGGTGACAGAAATCGAGCCAGGACGCCGAAGCCCTGCTCATCCATGAACTTGGCCACGGTTCCGCTCAGCAACTCGCCGTCGAAGTAGGCGGGCTCCTCGAGTTGGCGTGCTGTTTGCGTGGGCGACTGCTTTGTCAAACTTTCTCTTCAGGTGGTTGCCATGCGTGGAACTATCTGAAAACCATGGGGGGTATGCCTTCTGACCTTATGAGAATACTGCCGAAGAAAGATGGTCCCTAATTGTTGGGTTACGGCAGCGTGCGCAGACCTTTCGGCAAGACCACTTGGCATTTTCGTGAAATCCCTTCAACACCGACCCTACGAGTGGAGACAGCCGAGCACAGGGGAGTTTCAAACTGTGTTAACCGTGCGAACCGGCACCTTACTTTTCCATCCATGTCCTGGCTCTTGCTGGACTTGCCCTTGTCAGACCTGCCTTTGCCGATCTCCTGGCCCTTGCCGTACTTGCCGTAGTCCTTTCCCTTGCCGTACTCCTTTCCCTTTCCGTTCTCCTTGCCCTTGCCTTTGCCCTTGCCGTCAAGCCTCACGGTCACATATCGTCGGTTGCCTTCCATGGTCGAGTTGTTGAGTTCCTCAACCGCTTGTTCGGCATCGTCAATGCTATCATACTCCACCACCGCACTGCCCTTGCCAAGGAAACGCACATCCTTGATAGACCCCACCGAGGAAAAATGGGAGTGCAGTGTGCTCTCAGGCGTGTCGAAGTCAAAGCCGTTCACGAAGACTGCCATGACTGGGTGCAGCAAGAAACGTGTGTTGTGCTTGCACTAAAATGGCTGAGGCAGCCGATCTTATGCTCCGGTAGATGCACAAAGGTGGCGTGCATGTATGTCTTGATACACATGGGGGGTTGTACAAAATTACTTTGCCTGGGGACCCCCCAATTGCCGGCCAATCGCGATCCAATCGCGGCCCCACAGATTCCACTCGCGGAGCAACGTTGGTCATCGCTGCTATTATCTGAAGCGCTGGCCTTCCTCCATCCATACCTGGAAACTGGAAGGACGTGACGTAGCTCGGATGGGAAGGGCCTCGCTGGTGAAATTCGTCCAACCGCCGTCCAATCGTCGCCCAACTGCGGTCCAATCGCGGAACTCGGCGGCGAAACTTTGGTTTTCAGCTTCCAGTCTTGGCCGAAAAGCAGATTTAGACAGCACAGCCTGAACCTGGACAGGCGAAATCAACATACAGCTTTCAAGAAGAAACTGTTCCGCGAGCGCGTGCAGTCAAAATGAGCGAGACGTGCGTCGGGAGCACAATCTAAACACCATGCAGCGTCTGAATTCACAATAATTGCGTTGCCCCTTCGCGGTCCAATCGTCGGCCTTTCGCGGCTCGAGTTTTTCCAATCGCGCGGTTCAACAAGTTGCCGCTGTTAATACAATTACGGACGGCCCCCACATAGACACACGTATACAAGCTATACATATCCACCTGTGCAATGACATTTCGGCATGTATGCCATAATAAAATGACGGGACTGCAAGAATTCTCCCCACAATCGCAAGTCGGGAAGAAACGCAGCAACACCCCAAAGGCGCCTTTTTCCACTCGCAGACGACATTTCCATAACAGGATATGAATCCATGTGGAAAGCAACTCTGGCAGAGTTGCCTCCCGTTCCGAGCTTTTCGATCGTGGGCACTGTGGTGCACAAGTCAAAATAAGATCAGCATACTGCTCCCATGCGGATGGCAATACCTGTGCACCAACACTTCCCAACGCTGACACTGAACCAGCCCATTCGCCGCTGTCGTTTCGAAAGCCTCGACGCGTTCTTTGGCCTGGCACCGGAATGTTCACCGGTGGCGTGGGGGACGTGCGCCGGGTGCTCGGGGAGCCCGGAAAGCCTGGGGCCCGGGGAGCCCGGGGTGCTCGGGGAGCCCAGGGTATCCTGGAAGCGTGCGGCAGGTGCCGGCCAATGTGGCGTCACCACCTGGGGCACATGCACCTGCCAACCTGCCAACCTGCCAACCTGCCAACCTGCCAACCTGCCAACCT